AATTTAGAATGGCCTCTCTGGTTGAGATGAAACAGGCAGGGAGTTCAAAAACCTGCCCGTCTTTTCAGCAAAATGTAAACATAAGGAAACTTATAATAACAAAACATGAAAAAGCAAGTACATTAAATGTAACAAGTAGTTTTTTATTTGTGGCCAAGAAATATTGTAGTAAATAAATTCTGTCAATTTGTAACATATACAACACGTTCAATAACAAAAGATGAAAAAGCAAGTCAAGTCAAGTCATCTTCATTTATATAGCGCTTTTAACAATGGATTGTTTCAAAGCAGCTTTACAGAGATAAACATATAATTTAAGGTAACAAATTGTTTTGGCGTTATAGCGGTTCTTGAATAATGTTACTTCCAGCTAAAGTTAACTTTGATTGATTCACCTCCGTCGAAATGATCAGACTTTAAACGCGAACCTGTGATTAACGCTGACGGCGTTCACATGCTCATTCAGAATTCTATAGTTATGTGCTTTTTAAAATATGTGCGCAGGTTTGTAATTCATACAACCCAGCCTAAACAAACTACTTTTCTTGCCTATAAATTTTGATACAGAATTTTGTTTTATTTTATCACTTCGGGGTACGCGAGCCGGAATTCACAACGCTTTATCTGTAGAGTGGGAAAGGGATCCTCCATAGGGAGAGGATAGTGGATACTTCAGCACTGCATTGTCATCGGGTCCAGGCAGTGTATTCCAAGTACATTAAATGTAACAAGTAGTTTTTTATTTGTGGCCAAGAAATATTGTAGTAAATAAATTCTGTCAATTTGTAACATATACAACACGTGGAACAACTTGCCCCAAACTGATATTTAGAAAAATAATTACACATTTGTGTTCAGAACACGATTCGATCTTTCAGTTGACCCTTGCCTGAATGTATTCCAGTGTGGTTCTATTGGGTTTTACATTAACTAAAAACCTAATGTAAACACCACATAACAGAGAAACAAACTTCTGAAAAGAAATCTGGATATACATAACAAACAATAACACGAACAATAAGTCATTTTAAAGAACAGATTCCTGTTCATCTAAACTCCGCTCATCTAAACTGCTCTTCGATATACCTCCATGAAGCCTTGTCTATCTGTACAGAGCGTTTATTGAGACCCTGTGGCTCTGTAATCAGACAGAGAATCTGTTGGTCTGCATACCAGGTAATATTTTCTCTGGGACTAGGCCAGAAGAATTTATTTATCCCATTCCGGTGCATGCACTTAACCATAATGTTGTGCTCCTCCACTTTAATGATAATGCCAGGATAGGCTTCATCGTCATAATCCACCACACACCATTCTCCAATGTGTTTCGCCTCAATGAATTGTGGACGGCATCAAATGCAGGGGCATGGTTATGTTCTTTACTTACAGTTGCCTCCATTAACTGGTAACAGGGACAATCCAAAATACCTGCCTCTTTCTTGCAGAGACATGTGATGTCCCGGTATTTCAGTTTGCCTGGTGAAACACTTAGCACCTGATGCACCCTCATTGTTCCTTTTATTGGAGCAATGGCAGGTATCTGATGTGTGATGAGAAGAGAGATGGTATGAACTTGAGAATTCAATGACATAATACTTTTAACAATAATGTTGTATGTATGATGTATATACCATCTAAGCTGTTCTACAACCAATACTTTGAATCCTGGCTCTGTTCATTTTATCCACTATTAATTTTGTATGTATACATACTCTGAATTTTCTTTCAGCAGATACGTATGAATAAGTACATGTATATATACGTTGGTAATTGTAAAAAAGTAAGGTATACATTTAGGTTATTTTCTTACCTCTGGCTTTGATTCAACATCATCTTCACTGATGTAAAATAACTCTACTGAAGAGTTGTTTGATTTCAGTCTTTCATACAGGATTAAGGCATTTGGGATGTCCTCTCCATGTTTGATGGCTCTGTCTGCTGATCTCTTCAGTGCCCCACCAACACCATCTGGTGCCCCCTTGCCGTGTCCTGCCTCAAAGTAATTCCAGTTGATATTTTCAAACCCTAGTTTATATGGTTCTGTGGAAAAGAGGTAGAAATTCCCTTTCTGCCGATATTGAGTGGCTGGCCCGTCACTGAAGAAGTGAAGTTTTTTAACTTCAGGGAACCTTTGCCTTATCATACCAAGTACTGGGTCAAGGTGGGCCCAAATAGCTGTCAGGTCATGTCGTCGACTTGGAGAAATGGAGCAGAAGGCGAGAGGTGACTGGTCTTCAGCAGTGTAAAGTACCCCTGTATGGAGAGTTGCCTGTTGGTGCGATCCTCCAAAGTGGACTGCTTGAATTTCTTGGCTGTATTTGCACAAGTAATTTTCACTAAAATCAATGTGCAGCATGCACTCATCTGTTTTTAGGGTCTCCCTGATTTGCCTGTAGGCTGCGTATTGCCATCTGATGTTGAAGATGTGTTGCTTAAATCTGCTGAGCCTTTCTTGAAATTGGCTAACCAGGTCAGACTCGGTTGTTACGAGATCTCTTTTGACTGTAATCATGGAGGATTTGTCTTCTCTATGGATCCTTTCTGTAGTCCATTGGGCTACACAAACCTCTGCTTCCCCAGGTTGTTTAATGGTTTGATATGCATTGAGGAGGCACTCCCTACACTCACTGTAAGCACATGCCTTTCTCTTTGAAGCACACACAATTGAATCTACCATATCTTCTATACTTTTGGTAGACAATATACCACGACTGTGGAGGACATTTGCCATGAGTTGTGTGTTCTCATGTGTTTTGCACAAACACGTGTTGGGGTCAGCCTCTGTGGGTGTAACAACCCAAAATGGCCTAAACCGGCAAACCTTGCTGTATGACAGTTAGTCATGCTCCTCAGACAAAAAATTTCTGTGTAGAATTTTCAATGTGTCTGTGAGTAATCTTTTTTGCATTTTTTTCTTTTGTCGTGTGTTTGTTTGTTTGCAGCCTGGTGTCATACAGCTAACATCATCACGGAGATAAAAAAAGCCTTCACTTTCCTCTTGATCTCCAGAGCTGCACTACTTTCTTTTCTCTTCATGGTTGCACAAAGATCCACACTGAGGGTTGAATTTCTTTTTTTTTAGTAGCCAAATGCCATTTGTGTGTACTTCTGGAGTTTGTACTTATTTAAAATACGTCCAGAAGTCACCCTGGCAATCAGTTGTCTTTCTCTTTCATTTTTTGCGTTTCTGTATTTTTGCCTGATGTTCTCAACCAGGGTGGTGTGAAATAGCAGGGCTCTCTTAATGGGTGACCTAACGTTTTGGCCACTTACCAATTCCCTGACTTTTGAGTGAGGAGACACTGAGGGTTCTTGTCTCTTCATCCTCTGGTACCTCTTTTTGTATTTTACTCCTTTTCTCTTCTCCTTTGCCAGTTTTGCTTTCAACTCTTTCATTTCTTTCATAATTTTCTTATTTCTTGAATCCTTTTTCATTGAATGTGTTGCCTAGAATACATACATTACTGTTAGGTTTTTAGGCCAATCACTGTTGATTAGGCCTATTTCATCCCTAACTAAATGATTCAACTATAACCAGGGAAGCTATATATTAGGTATTAGGTGACTATAATTAATACATTATTTGGCTAAGAGTTATGTTTCTTTTATATTATTCCCATACTACATTTATACTAACCTTGAGGGACCTAGCTGTGGTGGACAGTCCAGCTCCAGTGGTTCTGGAGTTGGAGTCTGCAACTCCACTATTGTCCTGGCTTTTGCTCTGGCAGCTTTCTTTGCCTCCTTCCATTTTTCCCCTTTGTAAACGTTTTCCTCTCTCTGTGAGGTCATTAATAACTTTCTTCTTCCCTGTATCTCTATCTTTCCTCCATCTATCCCTTTCTTTCTTAAGGTACGCATCTCTTTGTTCTGGGTTTGTATCCCGGCGTTTTCTATATTAACCGTGCACTTTCTGCCACACTCAGAGGCATGTCCTGAGAACAGCAATGATTTTATTTTATTTTTTTATATAACAAAATATTATCTTGTTATATTATATTAAATGTTTCCATAAAATGTAATATAACATTTCTATAAATTGCAATATTAACTACAAATGAATGCTATGTCCACCCTGTCATGTGTATGTCCACCCTATCGAGTCTAAGTGGCCGACAGGGTGGACATTTTGGAACAACGACAGGGTGGACATTTTGAGCTTCAATTAGCATATTAGCTTACAACAAACTGTCACTAGGTAAATAGGTAGTCTGGTTGTTGAAGAGAATTTGGTATATTAAAACGTACATATTTGTAAATTATTGTATTTGAATCACTTCCAGTATATTTTATGCCGACAGGGTGGACATCTTAAGCTTTGGCAAAACAAGTAAGCAAACTCATATGAAGAAAAATTTCTTAGTTGTAAAATCAGCAGCTACTCACCTCAGCAGTTGAAATTCCCGCCACTGAAGAGATACAAAAATCTGTTGTCCTGATGTCACTAATGGGTGTGGCCTATTCTTAAAGGGGCAGATTCCACAATACAACAGGGTGGACAACCATTTAAGGGACATGGACAAACTCTTCTTTTTTATTAAATAAAAATATTGTTTTTATTATAAACTGATCAATACACTCAAATTGAGTAATGTCTTATTAAACAAAATATTAATAGAAAAAAAAAAAAAAAAAAAAATAAATTAATATGAATTGACTATTTTACTCTCATTCAAATTTGATGAGCAGTGCCTGGGACATAGCAAAATAACATACATCCTCTTATACAAAACTATAGAAAATCTTAAAAATGTATCTAAAGAGCCAAATAATGCTACTGTTATGAATAAAAAAACTTAGCCTTATATAACACACCCTTTCATAGTCATTTGTATGTTATATTATAATGGGAAATTAGTTATTTATGTTCAGGACACCAAAAGGCAACCTACAGTGATATTGACCCTAACAGTACACATGGATGCAGCCACATGAATGACTATTCTTATTGCATTTTGTCATTAAGCACATTTTCATTCATAATTGATACACCTGGTAAGCAGTTCTTGTAAATGTCATTGCAGGGCTGCAGTGTGTACATCTGATAATATTCTTGACATGTCTTCTCTCTCCAATTTGTTACACCTGAATATTTCAATTTGAGGAGCATAAAAATGAGGATGATTAAAAAGAGAATAATTGAAGACATATTGATATACCAATACATTTCTCAGTTACCATTTTAACCACATTTAAATCAAATGTGTAAAAGTAAATACAAACAAACTGTCAAGCCAGCAGAAGTGTGCCCTCCTCCTAAATGAGTCTGTATCCACCAGAATTCTGAATTTAGAACAAACTAAAGACAGATTTAACAATCCGGAATCACCCTCCTCAAGGACCACGTGAAGTAGAATTTCAGACAGGACAGCATCTGGCAACTATTGGGTATTACAAACAAATACTGCCATTTCCAAACATCATGACCTAACCTCCATTTAAACAAAATGTGCATCCTATGGGTGCAGGTAATACCTGAAAACATTAACAAAAAGATAGGTCATAAAGCTACTATAATAGTTTGTGAGATAATAAAGGCTTTGAAATCTGTTCGATCTTTGCTTCTGTCATATTGAACGTACTACTACCATCAAGATTTCGATGTTCATTTGTCCTGCTTCCTGTCATTTTGTCTCTTCACTGATTGACATGGCTGATGTGCGCTTCCTCTTTCTAAAAACAAAAACAACATGCATTTCATTACCAAACATTACTTAGCCAAAATAGTTTTTATTTACCTATTCTATCTATACCTTCCATGTGTCATTTTTGACAATAGCAGATTCACCCACCACCGCCTGATATGGGCCATATCGTTCTGAAAAGCAAAAGATAAATTTGGAAACGGATGTTTAAAATGTTCAAAAGTAATACCTTTCTTAAAAATATTAAAAGAAGGGATAGTGCTTACCTGGGTGAAGTCAAACTCCCAGTTAAACACCTTGTACACAGCAAAAACGCCAGTGTTAAATTAACTCTCCTGGGAGTTTATATGACTCCACACTCAAGAGTGTTAAATTAACACTGAAGCAGTGTTAAAGTTAATGAGATAATTAAGTGATTAATTGAGTGATGATTGACCAACATTGAAGACACCTGATGTTAACAAGTAGAATCACTGAAGGTGAAAAATCACAATTTTAAGTCACCATTATGGGGATCAGTGTTTTCTTCAATTGGGCAGTTAACCCTCACATTTTTTACTTTAGATTTTGTTTGGCTGTTGTAACAGAGTTATAACTGCCAGATGGACAAAGAGAAAAGATGATCTGATGGTGTTGGTTATGTTTTAACAAAATCATCAGTTGACCTGAATCACTGAACTAATTTAGAGCCTAATCTCTGACTTAAGGTTGAACTACTGGAAACAGACTTTTTACAACCTTTCTGGGCATTGAAAGTGTTATTGTGTTGCATTCTATGGAGAGGTCAGAAACCTCTCGGATTTCATAAAAGATATCTTAATTTTGTATTCCAAAGATGAACAAAGGTCTTACGGGTTTAGAACGACATAAGGGTGAGTGATTAATGACAACATTTTCCTAAATGGGTGAACTAACCCTTTAACATATGACACTGTCTTACCACCAGCCTTTTGAAGCTTAACAAACATTTTGGGGTACAAATCCTTGTAAAGGAGTAGCTCCTCAAGTCTGTTAATTAAGTCCACAGACTTAATTAACTACCCACGTGTATTGCTCCCAGGGCATTGCAGGCTTTCACTAAGGCTTCTTTCTTTGGCTAACTATAAAAGTCATGGTTAAAAAAAAAAATGGTAGAAGAAAACATCATTGGCAGAATAAGATACACTACATACAGTTTTGGACTCCAGCACTTGCAAAATGGCTTCTTCATCTATCTCCAAGCAACAGCTAGAGGTGAAAGCACGATCTTTCTGAGACAGACCTTTGTACACTTCTGTCTTTGGAATAATATCGCTTACCCTAGAGCAGTTACCCAGCCATGGAGTAAAGGCAGTGTGTGTCAAGGGATGTGAATAAGGATTGGCAAATGTGTTGCCTAAAATGCAAAAAGGAAAATAAAACTTTCATTTCAGGATGTAAGCTATGGGTACCCCCACTCCACCCTCAAAATAGCACTTACCATCACAGAACCCAGAAGCAGTCATTTCCTTCTCAAGTGTCTCCCATCTTGTTCTCACATTAACTTGAGTATCCTCTTGGCAGATTTTGTCCAAATTTGGCCGTTTAAACAGATGTGCTAATACACAACCAAGACAATGAGCAAAGAAGCAAATATATATCAAGACCAGTCATTATATGCACTCACAATTAACAATACACTCATTTACCAGGTAAATCAAATGCAATTTTCCAGTTTCCATCTGCAACCAAAACTGGAGGGCTGTGGCCACATCTGACACATGAATAGTCATAGGAGTACTCCCTCAAAGCAGAGAAGTGATAAAATGCCTTTTGTATCAAATTGTGTGGAAGAGTGATGTTGCCATGATCCTCCATTGTTTGTAAAAAACGTCCAAGGGCAATATGATTCTATAAACACACACACACAGACAAACACACCTGACATGTAGAAGTATTTGTGAAATTCAAGTCATGTTTTTAAGTCACTCACTGCCAGTCCAGATGTCAGAAGAGAACAGAGGGGAATGGTCAAAAAGGTCCGGTTTTCATAATTGTGGAAACCAGACTGATATTCTTGAAACCTCACTGGACATCTACAAACAAGGCAGTTCTTCACATACACTGGCACATCTGGAGAAGACAGAAATTGTTTAAAAGATTAAATGTTCAACACATTGTGGAAAATACATGAAAAAGAGATCTATACATTTCTGAAATTAACCTCGAGTCACTGAAGATATTCCATACACAAGGTCAAGTCGAGACATTTCGTTCGATACCAATAACTTTGGTATCGAACGAAAAGTTATAATACCCATGCCATGTAATACCCATGCCATGTAATTAGTACCCTCTCCCCCAAAGCTGGTGAGGTGGGACCAGGGCAATAAGGAAAGTTGGACTCCAGGGGTTCAAAGAAGTATGGAATTTGGCGTTCTTTTGTGGACAAATCCTGTGGTAGGTTTTCTGGCACCCTCTTTTGCCGCCACAAATAATCTGTCAACTCCTGTATGTCAGTAGAAGCCAGTGTTGCCACTTCTGTCTCTGCAACATCTCTGACCCTTTCATCCACATCACTGTCTTCAGCATTTGGGTCAGTTTGACAGGAAAGGAGGTGGGGTTTCTCTTGAAACAGCCACCACATGCACAGGTATCTGTTGTAGAGTATGAATGAAGAATCATGCATTCACTAATTTTGAACGCCATGCACACATTCTTGCGGACGGTTTCTAAAAGCCCACAAACCGGACTCATCCAATCTAAATCATCAGCTAGCACCAGCGAGTCTGAAGTTTAAATTGATTCTTGACACCTTTACAGCGTAACCGATGCTCTCCAGAGACCCTCGTGCCATCCCGATCCATTCGTGAGACACGATCAAAGAAGACCGTTATCTCCAAGCCCTCCCCGGCGAGGGGGGGGGATGCCAGATGTTCGAATGAAGATGCACACGACACACACGCACACACACACAGTTGCATTCCTACTATTTAAAACCCCAGAAATGAGTGATTCTGAAATTGAAATATGATGTATTCCTGTATGTTTAAGTGTTATACTATGTATCAAGTTTAGCTAGGATTGTTAGTTTTGTAGTCGAACTCTAAGAGCCTCTATAAAGAATCTGAGAATATATATATCCTTATATGCATGCTAACCGCAAAGTTATTGGTATCGAACGAAATGTCTCGACTTGACCGAGCCAAATATATGTAAAAGGTTACTTTAAAAGGTAGTCCACTATGTTTTTCCATCTTTGAATTGAAATGACCAAAATGCCGATCTCGTAAAAACACGCAAATGAGGTCATCAAGGGGAAACGAAGGGACTCGTGTGCGCCCCAAAATCTATGAGGTGCGATTGATCTGTTTCCCCAGAGAGGGGGTGTGAACTTTCACTTTAAAAGATCGTGAAACTGGCCCCTCGCTCTCTTCCTTTTGTCATTCTTCTGTTAGTGTTACCTTAGGCCTTGTCTTGTTATTTTGGTCTCTCGTCGTATTTGTCTTTGTTTTATTTTTGCGTATAGCTCAGTCTTTTTCTTAGTGCTCAGTTCTCGTCTCCGGACTGAACCACGCACTTTACGCTCTAACCGGTCCTCTAACCTCCGGGCAAAAGGACTCTTCCACACAGCGTATCTTTAGGACGTTTTGAACTTTGAACAAAACGCACTCTGCAAGAACCGAAAAGACCGCCTCCATCTCACAAGCACAGAGGACATCCTCTGCACCTTCTGCATCCTCTGCATCCCAGCACCTTCTTTTTCAGTGACACAAAGGTCCATTTGCAAGTATTGTTCCATCTAAATTTAAATACGTTAAAGTGGGTATTTTCCTTGTTGGCTCTTAAGGTTCAGCTGTGCTAGCAATTGTGTTTTTCCTGTGTTTCCATTTCCCTGTTTCCTGTTTTACTTTCGTTATTCTATTCGTTGTTAAATGTAATGATATATCCTAGTTCACTTTATTAAACTCCATTATACGCTTGATTGTCTCTGTTTGTTGATCCTAGAACAAAGCCTCTTTAATGTGTGATCTTAAGCTATGAGCTGATATTGTTAAGTAAACTAATTTGATTAGTAAACTTATACTAAGAAGAAACCTTCTTGAGAATTGATAAAGATCATCACACAAATCAGTTCGGCGGACGAACTGATTGGTTGAAGTGCGATTAATTCTATTAAGGTATTCTGAAAATCAATATAGCCTGTCTGCATATAATGTATATTCTTAATTAATTATAATTCGTTATGTTTAATTACCTATGTAGATCTGAAGCAGACGCGTGGACTATATAATCCCCTTTTTGGGTGATTTTTATGTATGGTTATCTGGTTCACCCGTATCCAATATTTGTTGATTATGAATTAATAAGTATTGCATACATATTCCCCTAATCTGAGCTGAATTCCTTACACTGTGGACGCAGCTTCTCATTCTATTGCGGCACTGGCAGTGCCACTTGCCCAAAAGGCTATCAAAAGAGACTCTGGTCCTTTCGAACTGACACCAGTTGTCTCTTACCCCAGTAAACACAGAAAAATAAACTAACCTGACAGAGGTATGCTCGTGCCAAAAAATGGGGAAAACAAAATCCACACCACCAGCAATACTTTTGTTTCTTAGCTTCACACATTCATCTTGTCGGGTTTTGGACAGCAGGCCACTGTCAACCATTGACTGCAAAGAGTCTTCTCTAAGTGCTGCTGGTGCAGAATAGCACACAGCTCTAAAGGTGATTCGCATTCAATGCCTGGATTGCCACTTTCTACTCCAATCCTCATAAAATCTCGACAGAGGTGACTCACAGGCAATAGACCCAGAGACGACTTGTTTCTTTAGGTGAAAAGGGACTCTAGGTCCATGAGCATCTTTTGGGGTGACAAAAATCCCATTTCGTTCATCAATACAAATGACAGGTGGCTGTTCCTTGACCTGCTGCCCTGCCTTTGGTTTTTCTGATGATGGCATTTCTGAGGGACAATATATAAACATGTTAAAGTAGACA